TGGTCCATGAAATCGATTTCTCTTCTTCGTCTTCCTCGGGGGATGATATACACGATATATATATATATATATGAGAAAGTGAAGGCTCTTCGGAATATTGAGTTGTACTCGAAGAGCCTTCACTTTCTCATTATATCACCTCGGAATGCACACCACATCAGTTATTCACATATATATATATATATATATATATATTTAGAAAGATGAAGTTCTTTGGGAAACAGCAAAATTTTATTGTGAATTTTCGAGACTGGTTCCCCAGCTCGTCTTCAGACAATGGGTGTGCAAAAACAATTAACTTTTAGCCTGAGTCTAGCAAAAGGAGTCAATGATTGGTTAAGATTGTTATCTCGGGATTGGCTGACTCAGTTTGAATCTGTCCTTAACGATTTTGTATGTGGCATCTAAATCGATATGCCGGTTGATGCATGCCTTATCTGAGTGCATTGCCTCCAGGAATTCGCGGCCTTTTCTTGATTGGCAGGCGCCAACAATGCGAGTGTTCTCCCATGCGAATTTATGCCCAGTGTCTAGTGTGTGCATGGCCACCTGGGATAAATGGTCGCGTCTCTTCACCGCTAACTGATGCTCATGTAAACGGGTTGAGACAGATTTCCCAGTTTGGCCACAATAAACGGCATCACAACTAGAACACGGGATTTTGTAGACGACACCTTTTCTTTCAAGGTAGCCGACCCTGTACTTAGGGTGCACAAGCTGTGTGCGTAAGGTAGTTGCCGGCTGGTGTGCTACTTGTATCTGGTACTTTTTCAATTGTCTTTCGACAAGTTCAGATACATTTTTGACGTATGGGAGAGTTCGCCATGTGGTTTGTTTGTGGTTTGGATGCATGTTTTTCAATATATATATATATATATATATATATATATATATATATATATATATATCGTCCGAATGGTAAAAAACGTGAGGTCCAGGCGACTGAATAGAAAAAGACGGGAAGTCTGTCTGTGCACCGATAGACTCGCGTGAGAGTTCAAAAGGTTGTACAAACAAACGACCGGCCTGATGATGAATAATCGAAAAGGTACGTTTTCCGACCTCGACTTCTCCAATGGTTACATTGCAAAAATGCGAGCACCCGCGCATGTCTGAGAAGAACACAATCGTAAGCAGTGCAGGGTAGACAGACTAACCAAATCCACCTTTCTCCTTCTCCCTATCGCTCTCTCAAAAATTGAATGCGAGTTGCCCAAAGCCTGTCAGAGAGCGTTCGTTCTTCTGACAGAGAGATGAGGCAGAGAACCAAAATCTGTCCGTGGGGGTGAATAGTTGTCAAGAGGCGGTGAATCTACATTGACAAGTCATCATTCTGCCCCCCCTCCCCCACTGAACACGATATAGACAGACGACGTCTGGGCAGACGTCAACATCGATGAGGTATGACTGCATTAGAAAACCATAGACACAGCTCGGATGACAAGCCCTAGGAAGTGGAGCTCTCACAATATGTCACGGCAGAAAACGCGACAACCGAGCGGGATCCAGACAGTTACTTATTTTTTGAGTTGGTTGGAAAACCTGACATTGAATTTTGTGCGGGTGCGAACGACCAAGGTACAAGAAAGAGACAACCCCACGGTCATATGCACCGAGAGGGTGATGATCTGAGCATTGAATTTAGAGGCGGGAAAAATGGAAGTTGATAATCGTAAGAATTCGACAGCCTTAGAACAACCCGAACCGTCTGAAAAGCATTTGATGTCTCTAACGTGCAGTAGTTGGGCTAACTCATGAAATGTCAACCGAAATTCCGAAATGCGTTTTCGTATCGAAAAGATTAATTAAGTAGGGATGTAAACCAAGTCATCGGGCAGCATAATTCTACAATAATTCAACTACCTCGGGATACCGGCTTTCGAAAGAACTTCCTTCCGGCTACATGCAAAAACTATACTCTCTAAAAAATGACTACTTGAGTAGCATGCATTTTTCTTATTGATTTTCGATATCCCTAAAAATTTAATTATATTTCACGGAAAACATGCATAAAAATATTCATTTTTTTGCTCATTCAATTTTATACTCGAAGGAAGGCTAAAATTCGGCTTTCAAAAACTTTTCCAATTTCCGAATCATTTTGAACCCGACCTGCCGTTACTCTTGCATTCAGGATTTCCAAACTGCAAGCCATATATTTTCGCGTACGGAAAACCGTATATTTCTCTACGGTATTAAGAAGAGACCATACGGGGTTCATAAAATTTAGCAGTGGATCTGATCCATATTGTTAACTTTACAAGCCATATTAGAAAATGCACAGGTACGATGTTTTTTGAACGGGCATTTCACGGTATTAAAAAATCTCACAATTAGAAACTTTTCTACAACCGAATTATACCCTTCCTTTGAGTATACAATTGGAAGAAGACGTCATTTTCTACCGAATGAGCAAAAGAATGACTATTTTTGTGCATGTTTTCCATGAAGCACAATTGAATTTTTAAGGGCATTGAAAATCAATGAGAAAAATGCATGCTACTCAAGTAGTCGTTTATTGCAGAGTGCAGTTATTACATGCAGCCGGAAGTAAATTCATTCGAAAGCCGGCGTCCTGGGGTAACTGAATTATTGTCAAACTATGTTGCAGGCTGATTACTTTTACAACCCTACTTAGTTAATCTTTTCGAAATGAAAAGGCATTTCGGGATTTCGGTTGACATTTCATGAGTTAGCCCACCTACTGTATGTGAGAGTTCCCCATATCGCGGGACTTATAAACGTTTGCCTGGACACTGCAGGTACAAACAGCCACGAAAGTGCTGAGATTGCGTTGTCGTTGAGTAAGGATTTTTGTGCAAAGCCTTCCAAAGAGCGATATCTTTCAGATGTGGCATTCACGATCACGAAAATTTGAGGCCTTGGCTGAAGACGTTGCACGAGCCTTAGGATTGAAACAGGTACGAGTCGGTGATGGAACAAGCATCCGGGGAACGCCTTATGTTGAAGATGTAGAAGA